AGCATCTGTGACCGGCATCTTCAGAGGGCAGGAGCACAGACAGGAGCAGTTCTTTCTGTGCCCAGGATGATGTGACCCTTCCAGAACATGGCCACACAGCCTGGAAGACCCACACCAGCCATCATATTCCAGCTGTGAAAGCCTTCGACAATAGATTTGAAGAGAGTTAATCAGAAGTAGCAGTTTATTCAAATCTCCCTTGAATAAAAACTTCTGTGACTTCATGAACATGACCATATAGATTCTAAGCAATGATATAGATGTGCTTTGCCACCAAAACAATTTAACTACCCATTCTAGCCCTCAGCCCTGGGAGTCTCCCATCCAAATACTAACCAGACCCAAACCTACTTAATTTCCAGCTCAGGCAAAACTAGTGCTGCTATCTGTCAGGAGGGATGATATTCACAGTCAAGAGGATTTGAGAGAAGACAGAATCTTCCTCAAGTCCACACTACCCTTAGACCCTAAACTTTAGAGATATATCAGAGATACTCTAATGATTTCTAAAAAACATCTAACAATCATTAGATTAATTTAAAACCTGATGCCAAGCATTTGATATTTACCAATATTATAGAGAGCGAATGTTTTTAATTGTGACAATCTTTTGATTCCAATTTTACAAGTTTTAGAAACAATTAATTTATTTATTTTCTGCCTTTTAATATTATTTTTGCTTATTCATAGGCTATTCAATGCATCGTGATAAGGCTGCTAACTGCTATCTACTGCCTATCTAACAACGTCATAAAATTCAAGCAACTTGTATTCAACCAGATAAACTCTCATTATTTGAATATTTTCTCAGAAGTAAAGTCACACTTTTCTAAGACTACCGTATCCCAAAATATTGTTTCAGTCCAAATGCTTAACTGCAAGGAACTTAAAAACTTTTTTTTTTTGGTGCCTTCAAGTCAGCATTGACTCCTGGTGATTGCCTGCACCACTCCCTGCAGTTTTCTTGGCAATATTTCTGAAGTGGTTTTCCATTGCCTCCTTCCTAGGGCTGAGAGAGAAGGACTGGCCCAAGGTCACCCAGCTGGCTTTGTACCTAAGGCAGGACTAGAATTCATGATCTCCTGGTTTCCAGACTGGTGCCTTAACCACTAGACCAAACTGGCTCTCTAAAAACAATTATTCCAATAAATTATTTTGTTTCTGTAGATCATGCAGGCACCATTTCCACAGTTAAGGTATAGAACAGTCCAAAGACATCAAAATATGACTATATGTTTGAATGGTACTAACTGGAACAAAAGCAGTAACAGAAGCCATGTCATAAACAAGGGTGCGCTACCAGTTCAATGATTTTACAACTATTAATTAGTTGTAACATACATAAAAGAGAAAAATAGCCTGGTTGGAGCATTTGGGGAGAAGGTACTACCTGTGATGAGCTATGAGACAAATAAATATTCATCTCTTGGAGAATATCCATAAAGTACAATATCACATAACTACCTTGTCACAAATAGGACAATATTCTTGGATCCTCATTTCTTAATTTTATAAGCTGCTTTGATGCTCCTGTCTGAAACATATCCTACACACCTCCTTCCTGTAAGTATATGTAAATAACTGCTGATCTTAAACAACACAAGGCAAGTTTTCACAGTAGGTTGCCTTTATGGCTACAGAACATAGTCTGAATCGCTTTTACTCTCACAATATTTTTCTACCAAACATACATCTGCCTTCTACTCATTATGCTAGGCTTCCATAAAGGAGCACATATTCACCAAGGAGAAAAGAATCAGGCTGTTTTTACACAATTAACTAAGCTTTATTGTACTTTGCCTTAGCAAATCATTCTAAACCTAGGCTAAGGGAAGAGGTGAGAGCCTTGAGTTGTGCAAAATAAAAGAAGGATACAAAACTAACAATAAAGAAATAAATTGAGTTCGGGCTGGGTTCTGACAATACAGAAGCCATGGTTAGACCAGGTAAATTAAGATATATTTTCAGACTGTGATTAAGGTGGAAAACCTGAGCTTGTCCTTAGTTTACCTGGTCCAACCACGCTTCCTGTATTACCTAGGCTCCCAGCTAGCTTATGCAACATCTATCATTCAGGAAAACAAGGAAAGATAAAGGAGTAGTGAAAAGGTAGAACTGCTCCACTTAAATTTCACACTTGGTGTACATGGGGGACTTTTTAAAAACAAAAGGGCTGAGAAAAGGATTAGTTTTCCTCACTCTGTGCATGGCAACCCCATTTGAGCCACTGTACTCCGGCTTTCGTCTGTCTGCTTGAGAAAAGCCAGACTAGTCTCAAAAGTTGATGGAGTAACAGCCAGACAGATGGGGGCCAACAAACCATGACATGAAGTTGTTTGCCATACCATTAGGTTCAGCAACCTTGGGTAAATCTCTTATCTGTCAACAAGAGTAACATACTTAGGATTTGTAATAGAAACTACATCAGTTACAAATTCATCTGTACAGGTAGTCCTCACTTAACAACCGCGTGTTTAGCGATGGTTCGAAGTTACAACAGCCTCAGAAAAAGTGCTTTACGATTTGTACTCACACTTACAACTGTCGCAAACCATCGCACCACCCCCTGCAGTCACATTATGACTTGTGACCTTTTTTACAACAGTCGTTAAACAAATCACTTGGTCATTAAGCAAATTCCAGCAAAAAAAGTCCATTGGGGAAGCCGGATTCACTTACCCGTGTGAGTTGCTTAATGACCATCGTAAAAATAGTCATAAAATCAGGTCTGGTCATGTGGCAACTCACTTAATGACCGCCCCACTTAGCAACCAATTTTCCAATTCCTAATGTGGTTGTTAAGCAAGGACTATCTGTATGGAATCAGGATCTGCAATTAAAAAAAAAAGAAACTAAAACACCCTAAGTTAATACTGACTATACATGTGGCTCCACTTCAGGACAGTAATATATAAATGGATATAAACACAGTTGTACAGTAAAGGCAAGATTACAGTCTTGCATCAACTTACTTAGGAGCAAGCAACATTACATTCAATGGGACTTACTGCTGAGAAGACACAGACAGGCTTCTGCCCTTAGTGCATTTCTCTACCCACCTGTTACCTGAAATGCAGGACTTGACAATAACACTGACTTTGGTAAATAAAAAGAATTCTTTCCCACTCCATTTTTAAACTCTGGCAAATCATTAAGATCATTTAAAATTTCACCTGTTTTGTCTTTCAATATTTTGCAGTTCCCTGTGGTCCCTTTTCAGATGTTTGGTCAAAGATGTAAAGTATTCTTTCAGCAGATTTTGGAAAGGTTGTTGTTTCTCTGGGCTAATTATCTCACTGGGAGGAAAGCTCAAGTTAAATTTATCTGCCGCACTTTTAACCTTTCTTGGTACCAAACCAGCAATATCATCTCCACAATGCCGGCAGAAACTAATCACCACTGAAACGTGGGTATGAGATTCACGATCAGCATTAATAATGTTTTTTAGCTGTTCATAGATTAAAGATAAGCCTTCCTTATCTGTGAAAATCCCAACTATCGTCAATTCTGCAATGAACCGCAAGTCCGTTCTCAGTTTTGTAATGTTAGGCGTCTTCTCTTCTTTCCTTGCTTCAAAATGTTTCTTCCAGACTTGAAGCAGCGATGGAGCAAAGTCAGCATATCGCTGATGAAACAACGAACACAGATGCACAGCACAGTTTACATCAGATATTTTCAGTTTTGCTTCTACAATCGATGCAACGGCCTCTGCAATATACTTGCTTAAATTGAGGCCGTTGAAGTCATGGGACAAGGAGTCTCTCTGCTGCTCAGTGATAGTCTTTAATTTCTTAACAAAGGCAGTGTTCTTCTTGAGGCTTGAATCCAGCCTGCTAAAGAAGTTCTCTTCTGGACGGTTGTCTGAGGCATTCTGGTTTTTGCTTCGCAGTTCCTTTCTTGCCTGGTGGCGCTCCCAAGCTTCCTGGTGCAGTTGATGTGCTTCTTCTTTTTCTCTAAAAAGTACGTAAACAGGCAAAGTTATATTTTAAGTCAGGATTCAGCCCTAAGAAACCCTTCACTAAAGAGCAACAGGGTCACCAGGAGTGAGCAATACATTTGTTAACAAAAAATAATTTTAAATCACGCATTCATCAAAACTAAAAATGGCAGGCACTGTCTTGGAAAATCAACTGTTTATTCATACAGGAAGGAAGGCTTTTTCTAAGATGATCTCTAGTACAACATATATATTATCATTTAAAACTGAGCTGTCTCTTTAAAGATGTTTAACATATATACACTACCTTTTCAGATTGAATGGTGAAAAAAAAATTAATATTAAAATAGAATGTTTGAACAATGGGGGGGGTGCAGGAGAGAAGAAGATCTGTGCTTTCCTAAACATTTCTCCCAGCATCTTTCGCCCTTTCCTCCAAAAATACAGGCACCAGAAATACACAAAATCTTACTTCAGTTGAGCAGCTGCTTCTTCTTGCTGCTGCTTCATCTCTTCCTCTTGCTTCTTTTTCTCTTCCTCTTCAAGTTTTTGCTTTTCCTCTTCCTCCTTTCTCTTTTGTTCTTCTTCAGGTTTTATTTTCTCATCATCTTTTTTCTTCCATTCCTTGTCATCCTTTTTCCGCTTCTCCTCCTCTACTTTTTTCTTTTTATCTTCAGGTGGCTTTAACATATCTCTCTTCATGCCAAGCCTGACATCGTCCTTGGGTCTGTCCCGGCTGCTCACTGACCGCCTCTCACCAAACTCCTTTTCTTTGTTACTTAACGATGTTTCTTTTTCTTCCATGCTTGCTGACTTCTTACGCTCAGCTGGCATTATGTTATCCAGGAAGATCTGAAAGATTATTAGCATCAAAGTGTCATTACATTCAGCTTTCATTTGTTTTTCAAAACTACATCTACCAATACATTCCCATCCCCAGCCTCCAAAGCTACATGCTGTCAGATAGCTTTTCATATCCATAAACTGTATATTAATACACACACACATATATACATGCGTGCCTCTTTCAATCTGACACGCTGCAGGTGTGTTAAAAATTCCATTGAAATCCGACACATCAAGAGGGCAACTATGATTTTTTTTAAAAAAGTTGCTCAGAGTTGAAGTAAAGACTGAAATCTGCAAACACTGGCAAGAGCTTAAGCAAATGCGCTAGCACATTGTATTGTTCTCTGAAATAGATACAACATTCAACTCCTATATTTTATTTCAGGCCAAGAATAGAATGAATTATTTAACAGTAAGCAGTTAATAGAGAGGTAAAAGCTGCAAGTTCAATAAACACTTGTTTAAAAATTTTCAAAGATTTGAATTCCAAAACTCAAGCGTTTAAGCACACATTCACTATTCAGATAATGTAGACTTCATTAATTCCATTACAGTCAAAGGCCAACAACATAAATTGCAAGAAGTTAGACGTCCAAGCAGTATTACAACACAGCAGTACATTATAAATAATACAATACATAATAACATGGTAAGATAAAAGCAGCGAGCGATGATGTAGTACAGTTGGAGGCAGACCTGGATTACCAGTTTTGGTGGTGTCCGCTTATTTTTCCTGCACTACACAAGCCGCTGCACAAAATTTAGCTGCATTAGAGACAATAATAGCATGCAACATGTCTAAAAATGAAAAGTTTTTTTATTGTTTGCCTTCAAGTCAGACTTGACTCCTAGCAACTATATGGATGAGTCCACAGAGTTTTCCTGGCAGCATTTTCAGAAGTGGTTTGCCCTTGCTTTCTTCCCGGGGCTGACAGAGTGACCAACCCAAGGTCACCTAGCTGGCTTTCATGTCAACAGCAGAACTAGAACCAGAACTCCGGTTTCTCTTTTTTTAGTCCAGCAGATTAACCATTAGATCAAATTGGCTCAGGTTTTACTATAGACAGAATGGGCTTATTACACAGTACTGTACAGCACAACATGCTAAATTGTTTTTAAACACTGGCTGGCACACTTCTCAAAAATTGACCAAGTAAATCTGCCTTCCAGCAGAACAGATGGGAGAACATTAAATCAAGCTTGCAAGAAAGCTCTGCAATGATTAGGCAGTTCTAAGGTGGCAGGTTATTTAGCTGGCTGCAAAACTCAGATTCACCATCCAGGACCTAAGTCGTTAAAGGCTGAAGTTACTCATTTTACTGTTCAGCCCCATGGACACACTATTTAAGAAACACCCTATGTGTTCGGCTGTTGGTATCAGCTTAAATGAAAAGTAAAACTTTTTCCCAGCTCATTAGCAAGCTTTATTAAAATGAAAGTAGGAGTGTGCAAGTATTTTAGCAAATGAACTACTTTCCCTTCAGAACTAAAATATATCTGTGTACATAAGGGTAGGGACTTTCCAAGTCTTTTTCTCATAGGCTTCTGATGCGGAGTCAGTGGTCTTTTCGCAGATATGAAGGGATGGGGTTTACATCTGTGGGTTGTTTAAATAACAGTCACTTGAATCCTTATCAGTCTGAGAACCACCATTAAACTAAACTTGACTGTGGCCCACAAACTGCAAAAGCTCTGAGAGAGACAAGCAGTTTATCCAAGAGTCTTGTTTCAGGCCAAATGGAATTTATCAAGATTAAAGAAACAGACCTATTAGCCAGAAATTAAATATTACTGGCCAAACAGAGTCTCTATTTGAGGACTGTCTGTATGCCCATGCAACATCATTGCTATATGAGCTGCACTGGTTCCCAGTAGGCTTCCAGGTGCAATTCAAGATGCTGGTTGCCACCTTTAAAGCCCTACATGGCATGGTGCCAGGTTACTTGTGGGACCATCTATCTCTGGTGGTTTCTGCCCTTTCCAATATATCTGGCAGGGTGGGCATGCTTCAGGTCCCCTTGGTGCAAAAGTACCAAGTACCTGGTTTTGGTGGTCCTTCAGAAGTGTGCCTTCTGTGTCATGGCACCTGCCTTATGGAATAGCCTCCCCCAGAGATACAGATGGCTCTAGCTTTGTTGGTCTTCAGTAAAACCAGCTCTCCAAACCTCTCCAGATAAAGGAGAGGACCAGAGATTTCCCACAAGTGCTCCAGGCAGTTGCTCCTTGTGCGGAGACAGCAAGATAGTGGTCTCTAGCG